ATATTTCAGCTCTTACTTGATAGATTTTTCAAATACAAACCATGCCTAACCCACTCTCCCGATCCTCCTCAAATCCGAACAAACAAAACTGAAGAGCTTGAATTATGAGCATATAGTGACAAGTATTGCAAACAAAGTCCATCTATTTCACATATTTCACAGACATAACAATACATCAAGCTGTTACTGACTGTCAAAGAAAGAAAAGAAGTTTAGAAAGGAAGAAAAGAGAATTCAGCGTGGCAATGCAGCCTGTTTTTATTCCTCTGTGGTGACAATTTTTGCATTTCTTTTAGCATGATCCAGATTAATTTGGATTGCCTTCTTTTATTAGCTACCTTTTGAATAGATCTTACTGAATCATGCTATTTTAACTTGGCGAACAGAATACATTGTAATAAACACAAGAAAGAGAAGAGCAAACTGCAGTACAATGAATGGCACTGTCAGGACCAACTTTTTTTGTGCGTAAGCTGTGTTTGGATATGTAACACCTAAAACTGCCTTACTCAGAATTGCTATAAGGCGGCTTCAGTGTCTGCCGTATGTGGTTTTGTTTTTGAAGCAAGACAATGACATGGAGAGAAGGAGTTGCTTTCAGGAAGGATTTGAGACCTGTTATTAAAAGTTACCTCTGACAGCGGACATTAGACTGCAGTTGGTAGGTATCTCTGACTTTGTCATTTTGAAAGACCTTACAGAAAGAATAGCATATACTAAAGAAATAAAACAAAGTAGTTCTGAGGCTTCAGTTCAAGGACATCTATGTGGTTTATGTAAGCTGTTGATTTGGAGCTGCTTGTTTTAGTGCCCTTTGCACTTGCAGTGTTCTTTCCATTAGTATCTTCTATTACGTTGATGTGCTATTGAAATCAAGTGTGTGGTGTTTATTCCAGCGCTTAAAGATTTGGTGTGCATACAGAACTGGGAGTGCAGCCCCACAGCCTGTTTGTTCACACTGCGTGTAAATCAATTAGCGCGCTGAGCCTGAGAGCATTACTGAGAGTTACTGTGCCATAACCTGAACTCAGGAATACTCTGTCTCAGGTGAAAAAAACAGCCTGCTGAGTCTTGTCAGCTGTGCACTTAGGGAAGTGAGGGAGAAAATGATCAGATAAAAAGCATCAATGAGAAGTGAAAGAGAAGAGGTCAGAGAACAGCTTCTGAAACACCAGAGGGTACCAGCCTGGCAGTGCATGCTCACAGTGCCAGCCTGTTTAGCCTTAAGGTCTTTCTTCTATTTAGATGTGTAAAAATGACAGATTGGGAACAGAAGGGTGTTAAGGACAAAGGTGAGGAAATCACACACTGATTTCCTGTTGAAAGGATGGAGCTGAGGAAAGCTCCCTGGTGGTAACTTGTAAATGGAAGGAGGGCACAATCAAAGAGGTCTTGCATTTCCTAATGCACACTGCATTCGTGTTTGCATGGTGGTGAAGATGTGCTGATTCAGTGTAATCCTTTAAATTATTTGGTTTGTATTTTGTTTTGGATCCATTAGTGGATGGTTAGCTATGGCTAGGCCATGACATCTTACTTTTTATCAGCTTCTTGACTTGCCTAGGAAAGGAGTACACAGTCTAACATTAGATGTCTTTGCTAGAGTCGGGAGTGTATGCTGTCTTTGTACTCAGTGGAAAGAAACGGTCTTACAGTACTCAATTTATCTGACCTATTTTAAGCATCAAAATTACAACAGGATATCCCAAATCGTGTCTTCTGTTGTCTCTTAAGAGAGTCTGCATAGCTAATTCACCAGTGGATGTTTTGTTGAAGTATATTTTACCTGACTTAAGTTTTTTGTTAGCGAGATAGCTTACTGCGTCCCTCAGGATCCTCTCTGATGCCTTGCAAATATTCTCTGTGTTATTTATGTGGGGCAAAATATATGATCTGTTAGTGAGATGAAGCCTGGTATTTAACTCAATTGTTCATTCACCTGGCTGAACTAGGGCTGCATTGGTTGCAGAATTCTCTGGTAAGGGAAGGTTTCAAAGACTCTCAAGATTGCATTTCCCCAGAAGCAAGCTCCAGTGTTTGCACATAACTCAAATTTATCTATGCAAGCCTGCATCATAAATTCATACTTTTATTACCATTTTCTGTGATGCAGTAAGTATGACAAATAGTAAATTCTTTTTGCTATTTTTGAGATCATGAAAGCGTTAAGTTTAACAGGACATTAAATTATCTTGTCTACACAGGAACACAAGCTTCCATTCACATTAGAAACTATCTGATATCTTAAAGATGAACCATTCTGTGTTTTGATCATAGTGTTGTTGATTCAGTTTTTATTTCTTCCTGTACATCACAGTTTATTATCAATTTTGTTTTGCTTTGTTTGTAACACTGAGGGTACCAACAAAGTTAAAATATAAAAAGTACCTAAACCGTAAGTGAAGAAATTTTTAACACTTTAACTAATTTAAAATTAGGTTTAAAGAAATGGGAAAAAAAACAACAAGTAAGCTTATCATCACACCTTCACATTTGTCTATGGCAAATTTGGGCTGCCACCAACAGGTGTGGTTTGCTCATCCCTGTTACTTCCATGGTGTCAGCACTAGAGAATAAAATAACAAAATCAGGAAACATTCTGGATATAAAAATACCTGCAGATTTTGTGGTGCTTTTTTTGTTTGTTTGTTTTGTTTGTTTTGTTTGTTTGTTTGTTTGTTTGTTTGTTTGTTTTGTTTTTTTAAACAGCCTTAGACAAGATAAAACTGATTGGTCAGAAATGACAGATGGTAATACCAAACTTGAAGGTGCTTTTTCATTCTAAGTGCTTAGATAGGCAATGCATCTGAAAAATACAGGCAAGAGAAATAAGGAAGTTCTCTTAGTCCCCACTCTGCAGATGAGTCAGTTGGTCAGGTAAGTAGACCTAAAGGTGAGAACCCTCGGAGCTACTAAAAACTTCTCTTCTGAGTCCATCTATGGTCAGCAGAGAAGAGTGCCTCCAGAGGGCAATCTCTTCTCATTTTAAGAAGAGTGTCTAGAATGCTCACAGCAAGCCACTGGTGGAAGTTCTTGTCTTTGCAGCCTGTTGTGAGAATTAGGTGACTAACTCAGACTAGGAATGCATCTTTTCAATAACTAACCTTACAGAGGGGTAAATTATTTTTGAAATGGCTTCCTATGTTCACAAAGGAAGATTGTGGCAGAACTGGATAGTTAGCTCTTTCTCTGCTGCCACAACCACTAGGCTACACTCCTCTGACCAGGAGCCTCTCTAAGGGGTAGAAGTTAACTGTGAACAGTGATGGGACTCTCAAGGTGATGTAGTGGAATTTCAGATATTTTTAAGATTGGGGAAAATCAGTAGACCATTTTTGTCTGGTCTTTTGTATAATACAAACTGTGAAGAGTGGTTATCCTTTTGAGTCCTATGATTTGGATGGTTATAAAGTAAATCTGAACCAAACTTAGAATTTCAGCCTTTTATATTCTGATTTGATGCTGCTTCAGGAGTAAATAAATTTCTCTGGGTTGTTCCTGTGAGTGAGTTTCAGACTGGCCACATTCACAGTTTTTTCATCATGGATTCTGAGTCATTGCTAAATAATTGTATTTGTTTCAGTCAGCAGCTGCTGAGCTTTCCAGTTTTTGTCTCTCTAATACCTGTGATTATGCATGATTTCTAAGAAAATTCAGTTGATGCTAGCATGGAAACAAGATGGCTACAGCCTTAATAACAATCCATCAAGCAAATGTCTTTGGGACCATAGTTGAGCTACTGAGAAACTAGAGTTCCCAGTTTTCTACTGTAAATGTACATGAGAAGCAATTCCTCTCACATAGCATTTACTAGTGTAGGCTTAGGCATAGAGTCCTCGGCAGGATTTCTGCAAACCAGTTGACATTTCCAGACTGCAAGAGCTCTGTGCAGCTCGAAGACTCTAGATGTGTAGATTCAATTTGACTTCACAGCGGTTTGCCTGAGGAAATTGCTCTGGAGGTTCTATGGCTTCTGAGACCACTGATGTCCATGGAGTCATTCCAGCCCTGCAGCTCTGCCTGCTATGGATGTGCAAGTGGGCTCAGGACAGCAAGTCTGGTTTGTACCAGAGTTATGGGTCTTTTCAGCTGCTGAAGTACTAAACAAATTAAATGTCAGGAAATGTAGCTGGCACACTAACTTCAGAATGTAACCTTGTTTCATTGGTAGATTAATCATAAGTGACACATTTGTCTTTCCAAAACTGGCTTTTTGTAATGAAAAAACATTCCAGTTCATTAAATCCAGTTATATCTAGACTGAGATATGCCTTCAAGAACAGATAGTAATATGTGGCATCAGGATGTGGAAAGTTAATGAATTTCCCTAGGAGTATGTTGTAATAAGTTACAATTTGAATGTTGTACATTATTTGCCTTTGTATAAATCGTTTCCTTTTACTCTGGCACATAAAAGAGCATTTTAACACCTAATATTAAATGCTTTGAAGGTACTCTGGTGTTGTAATTAAATCTCTTCTTGATCTTTCCAATAGTGCAAATGATCAAGGTCCTTCCAGTCTCTTTGCTACAAGGCATTTCATTGAAATCCTTCAAAATGAAGACATTTTTCTTTCTAGATTGATGGGAAACAGTTTTATTATTGCTGCTTTCTTTTCAATTACTTCTTAATAGCCATGTCATGTAACACATACTGGAAAAGTACTTTCTCCTTTTCAGTGGCCCAATTCAGTACCCATGATATCAGTCAGTAAGGCTTTGCATTCTTTCTGTATTGATTTTCTGTGAGGCGTCAAATCAACTGACAGGAAGCAAATCTCAGCTTTAGGCCTCACTTCCACACCGGTGTTAACCAATGTCATGTCTAATAATATGAAAGGTTTAATGTGGTTGTTCTCCTTGTTTACTTCACCCTTAGCATAATCCTGAGCTCCCAGTTTGGATATCAAAGTGTTGAAAGTCAAAGGAAAACTGACAATGTCTGCAAAATGTCAACCAGGCCTACATTAGAGTAACTCTACTTCTGCTGATTTTTCTAGGTATAAAGATTTGGCTGATACAGCAGCAGGAGAGAAGAAGTTGTCTGCCAAGGAGAGATGTCGTCTTGTTCTCCAGCAGTGTAAATTACAAGGCTGGCAGGTTTGTGATCTACAAAGCAATTAAAATATCATTCTTTAAACAAGCTGGCTGAGTCACTTCCATTGTGGCAAGCCACCAGATCCTTTGCAACAGTATATTCTTTTGACATTTAATATATGCTTTGGAGTAGAATCAAGATGATTTTCTGAGTTTTCTAGCAAATGAGTAGCTGTGATCACTGTGTCAAAAAATCAGTGTACGCTTGTGGGAAGAAAAAGAGTTCAATTAAGCATGTACATTTTATAAATTTGTATTCAGATTTTTAAAGGTTTCTGGTGAACGCATTTTAAGGCTTCAATGGTTCTTGAATTATTAAAAAAAAAAGCTACAAACATTTTCTTCATGTGAAATTCTACAATAAATGCTGTACTAAATGCTGTGGTAATACGGGATATGGAAAACATTTACTTAAGACTTTCCATCTTGTCAATGCCTGCATAGGCACCAGTGCCTGGACTCAGGTAGAGCTGTGTAACTGGGATCACTGTACATCAGGTACAAAACAGTGAATAAGAAGCCATCCCATCTCCTCCTATTTGTACCACAGTTAATCTTCACCAGAATGTGATGTCACCTTCATTTGGACAGAGTAGTCTGTCATCTTCTTAGGGTAACTTTGTAATTTAGCATCACTGATTCCTCACTATTTGCGGTTTCTGAAGAAAATTGTGTTCCCTTTCACACTGTAAGCTAATGTACAGAAAGGAAACTTTATGTGACTTAAAGTGCAGCGCATTCTCCTAGGCAGTGTCACTTCAGGCTCAGGTCTTTTCCAAGCCTAGGACAGAAATTTATATCACAAGACACCATCCAGACCAGTTACAGAGGCAGGTGTGGAGTTTGGGGACTGGCCAGTTGCTAGGATGCTTACCTATGCTTTTGGAGTAGTAGTTTAGAGAAACAAGTTTAGAGAACTTCTAATCCATGTGCAATATTTAAGCATTAAGATGGACAGAAAATGTTTCAACAGCAGTTGATAAAGGAGAAGGATTGAGTTGGACTTACTGCTATGAGAAAGGATCAAAACTCTTAGGAGATGCTGGTAAGTTAATTGCAATAGGAGTGCTTGTGGATGAGACACCATTGTCACTCAGTGACTAAGAAGCAGGTGGATTATACAGTTTTCAATTTTCATGGGTGGTCTCCTCTATGCTCTTACTGCAGGGGACTCTTTAAAAAAAAAAAAAAAAAAAAAAAAAAAGAAAAGAAAAGAAAAAGAAAAGAGGGAAAAAGAAAAAAAAAATGAGACAGGGAGGAGGGGGAAGAAAAGTAAGGAAAAGAAGAACTAGGAACCCAGGGTGATGTCAGCTAGTAAAGCCAGAGGAAAAAAAAGTAATTTTATAGTGCATCAGTAAAAATCATCCAAGAGATATGGGTTTACATATATAACCAGTTTATTCAGCCACTGTTGCTAGCAGTAACTACTGCAAACAATTCACTGCTGGGATTGAAAAGCTGTTTGATACTTGGCTTCATGAATAAGTCAAAGAATATCTTCCCCAATACCACTAGCTGCACTTCCCTGAAGAGTTGTTGCAGATTTGGATTGATAAATCAACCAAAAATAGATAGCTAAAATATTCACACTGAGAATGATGAAGTTTAGGAGAAAGCAACACACATCTGAAATCAACCTCCTGCTTATGTGTCATCATCACAGGACAAGCGTGACAATAACTCTGCAGAAGGGTTGGGGAGAAGAAAAAATCTGGATTTTATAGCTGGATGGATCTAGGTGATACGCTATTTAACTTCCTTGTGATAATGTACCTGACTACCTAATTTTGTGAGAAGTCATATTAACTTGAGAAGGAGGGGAAAGCAAATCAGTGTTCTGAAGTGAGTTCCCAAAAAGGAGTAAAGGAAATTGATTTTTGGCATTTATTTCCTGCTTGACAATTTATCTTTCCTTTCTCACATAACTAGTGTTCGGAGAATGTTTTATCAGCTTGCAGAACAGCAACATTCAAACCCTACTCACAGAAAATATTTCTTCTAAGTACTGTGGCCTGTTTAAAAATTGAGGGCAAGTGAAGAAGATCAAATACGAGAATCTGATTTTGGTTTATTTCTTTCTATTAGTCAGGCATTAAAGCAAGCACCAGCTCTAGTGTTTTGTGCTAGCCAGGGTTTTGTGCTTGATTCGGCAACTTCTGTGTTAGAGGAAAGTGTTTATTAGAGAAGTGTTGATAGGTTTATGAAATGTTGCTATTACTTGAGTAAGCTGAGCTGGAGATAACTAAACTGGAACAATAAAAGAGCTGTTTAATTGAAGCTGACACACAGTGTACTTTCAACCATGTGCTTAACTACTGAAATTATAAAAATGCAGAGCTACTAATGAAAGGCTGCTTTTGCATCCTAGTTTTCTGTGCAGCCTAGATGAACTGTTCTTTCTGTTTAAATATATACCCGATCATGACAAGCTTAGCTACTTGCTGTGATTTTTAAGCGCTACTGATGTAAAAGAAAATCAGATCTGTAAATCAAAACAAGCCATTCCTGTTCCAGACAGAATGAAAATAATAGACTTGTTTAACCCCCTGGAGAAGTCAGCAAGAGTTTTTGCTATTAATGTAAGAGGAGGGAGCAAGATGATATCTAGTAACTTCAGAGTCAAATTGATTGGGAGTGTTGGCTGCTGCATTTTCAGCTGCTCTCCAGAACATCTTAAGGCCTTTATATTAGGAAATCGACATTATTTGCTCATTTATTGTCATGCAGTGACGTACTGGATAAAGAAAGCCCACTATCCCAACAGCATGACTATCTTGCAAACATTAACATACTGTGAGAGAAATCTGGAGCACAAGCAGTCCTTGGCTGTTTTTACTGACAGAAGGAAACTTTCATTTATTTGGATTATCATTCCTCACACTGTTAAGCTTACAAATATGAATTCAATAAAGGGGAGTTAGCTCATAGCTTACTGAGTTTTCTCATCAGAACTTGGAGATTTGCATTTTGTTTAGCTAAGGCCAGTGGTCTTCAGTTAACTCTTCAGTTACTTTAGATAGAGCTTACCAGAATGCAAACAACTCATGGTTTATATCAATTTGATTTGCTTTCCAAAGGCCAAACTCCACTAAAAGCGAATCTCTCAGCCTTTGACTGCTAGGAATACTTGTCTGGTTGAAAGATAAGACTGCTTTAAAACTGTCTGAGCTTATCTTTTCAATTTTTAGCCTGTTTCTTCTAATCCATAATCATTTCTTCCTATAAGTAGCCTTGAAAAGAGATCACACAGTTTGAAACAGGTGTTTTAAATGGTATGATCAGAAGACTCCTCAGATGTGAATTAAACAATAGAGGAAGGTCGGTCAAAATGTTTCTTCTGAAGCTCCAAATCAGGTAGCTGCATGGAAAAGATGTTGTGTTAATTCCAGTCCACGTTTTTACAGCTGCAGACATTGTTAAAGGACATTGTTAAACTTGTTTCAGGAACCTCGTAAATTGTATGCCAGCTTATTTATTTGTTATTAAGTAATCTTAGCTGTGGTGGAAGTCTTTGCTTTTTTTTTTTTTTTCTTTTTTTTTTAAAGCCCTGCTTTGAGAGTCAATTTTCTTTGAGGCAATTTAAAAATTAAGAATTAAGTACATTCTGAAGATCACATAAAAACAATCCCAGAAGGAGTTGCCAAACTAATGCTAAATGATTTAAACATCAGTGTTTATGTTTCGCCGTACTTTGAATTTTTTCAGAAAAATTATGTTGTCCAAGCAGTATATCATTCTGTTGTATTTGTGGAAATAACTGGCTGGTAGCACAAAGCAGAGTAAGTCTGGACCTCACCAGTACTACCAAAGGGCTGGCCCAAACACCCTCCACCTGCAACTATTTTGTGTTACACAGTACAAGCCCATTGCATCCCCTTTGCCTAATAATAGGATGGATCATTCCATTTGACCTCAGAGCAGCTCTGTCTTGTTTCCATTCTGATATTTTTTATCTCACATTTGGGCTCCAACTCAATTTATCTTGTTCACTGTTGATTTTCTCTATCTGTATCCCTCTTGATCCTTTTCTGTTGTTTTCTTCTCTTTCTTTTGCTGTAGATATTTCACTTGATATTTGGTCCTGGTGTTCATTTCATTTTTGCCTGAACTTAGTTTTCCAGCCTCACACCCAGGGTTTACCTTCTATGCCATTGTTGTCCCTATTGCCTGATGCCAGTGTTTCTCAGTTCACACACAGAGACACTTCTTATTTGGTGCTATGTCTGCTTCTGGAATTTAGGAAGAATAGAATTCTAGGTTCATAACATCCTTTGATGTAAAGCCAGGGTAGGATTTTTTCCACTAATTATTCCCTATAATACCCTTATTCTTACTGTTTATTTCCTGTCCTGTGATGCAGTATTTTCTGTCTCCTCACCAGCATGAAGAATTATGAGGTCTTCATGTTCTTCTGAAACAGGACTTTCCATTTCTCTGCCCTTTCCCAGAGAGCTGAATGACAGTTTTTCCTAAAGTCTAAACCCTGACAAGCACTTGCATAAGTACCTAATGTCACATGCGTGAATACTGTACTACTTATACTTACGTTAGGAGCGTACATCAGCTATGCCTGACTATAGATTTAGTCAGCATGTGCAGGGTCAGTAGTCTGCCAGAGACAAAGGAAGGCTCTTAAAATGTGTAAAGAAAAGCTATTGAATAAAGCAGAGAGAGTAAGCCTTTAAAAATAACACTTCAGTCCCTGTTAAAGATCTGTGCCCTGTAAATGTGTATAATATTTTTGCAGACATATACACTGCAGAAAGACACATTTTACAATAGTTTTAAGGCTTTTTTTCCTACATTTCATTAATGCACTGTGAAAATGTGTGTCATTGTGTAAAATATCATTAGATTATAGTTCTCTGTCTTTTGTAGGTAGCTATTTTGAAAGTACTGCCAGAAACACACAGCACTCCCACAAATTGCCTTTTTTAAACTAAAGAACAGCTTTACAGATTCCCTTGACACCTATTAAGTATGAGCTAATACTGCCTCCATGCCACCTACACACCATCTCAGCATCCATTCCTAGTTTTGAATGTCTGTTCTTCTACATCCTACACCTTCTCTTACAAAAAAAAAAAAAAAAAGAAAGAAAGAAAGAACAGAAAGAACAGCTCCCTCCCATCCTTTCTTTCTCCTCCCAGGAAAAAAATAAAAAATAAAAAAACCTGGAGGCCTGTAGCAGTAATTGAAGCTTTGGTAGTCATCAATGACAATTTTTCCTGATCTTTAAAAAATGTGTCACTTTGAAAAATAACATTTAAAGCCCTAATGCTTTTCTAATTAAAATAAGTATGACTGTAATTCACAGATGGTTTACTTTTGCAGGAATCTGAATGACATTAAAATTTCAGGCTCAGATGAGAGCACTCTTTAGCCCCAAAGTACTAAAAAACTATTTCTTTAGGGCAAGAGTATTTCAACCTTTTTTCCCCTAGGTAAGCAGGAAACAATTTATGTTCAGAGAAGACACAGGCTGTACTGATGCCCAGCATATGAAACTAGAAGAGAACAGATTTAGTTTAGATGTTAGGAAGAAATTCTTTACTCAGAGGGCAATGAGGCACTGGCACAGCTGCCAAGAGAAGCTGTGGTGCCCCATCCCTTGGAGGCACTGAAGGTCAGGTTGGATGGGGCCCTGGGCAGCCTGAGCTGGTGGGGGGCAGCCCTGCCCATGGCACAGGATGGAATGGGTTGGGCTGTGAGGTCCCTTCCAACTCAGTGCATTTTGATTGTTCTGTGCTTTTCACTGAACTCCAGGACTATGCAGAAGGTGGGGAGGTGAGCTTGTTCTTGGTCAGCTTCAGATGGTATAAGATTTAATTCAGTAAGGAGCAACAAACTTCAACAAAGTGAATAGAACCCAATATCACACAGTAGTGTCTTCTGCACATACTTCTGTCTAGATCTCTGCTCTCAATTAACCTAGCATGTGATGTAAAAGCTGCAAATAGCTTTTATCTGAATGTAAGAATGAATTTGTATTGATTGTACTTCTGTCCTTACTTCATTCCCTTAAAAAATGTAGCAAGTGACTACTAATGAAGTTCTTAGTATAAGTGAAACCACAGTAACTGCATTTATGCCATTTCTGTTATGTGGAATGGGAGAAAAGAGCTCTAGTTCTTTGAATGTCCCCTAACTGGCTTTGTGAGTCTGTGGAGCCAGATGATGAACTCTTGAAGCTACACTTACCATAAGCTCGAGCAGTTGTCTTGACTGATTTTGTAACTGACTACTGCAAAAAAAATTACAACTCAATGTTTAGAGTAGTTACACACTTGAAATGTAGCATGGATGTGACCCGTGTGTTGATTATGAGACTAATTGAGAATGGGGTTTGTTTTGCTGTAAGCATTGCTAGTTATCAGAGCGTTTTGTGAAGTTTCAAAATGTAACCTTTTGTCTCCTTCAGTTGATTTTTCTAACCCTTTTACTGTCCAGGTGCCATAATCTCTTGCCCTAAAAGAGAGGTATATCTTAGACTTCCAGTGAGGAAGGAAGAGAGAAACAAAAGGCATTTTAGGGAATTGAGGGGGAAGAGGCAAAAATGAGATGCTGATTGGGCACAGGCCTGAGATAAAGAGGTTAAAAAAAAGGCTTCAAAGTGGTAGGAGGTATGTGTAAAGAAAAAATGGGCCATAAAGAGGAAATGTAATCGGAGCAGAAGAGTATAATTTAATGAAATTTCTGTATCCAGGCATTGGTTTTCTGAGAGCTACTCAGATACAAATGCTAATTACAAAAACTGCATGATAATTTTATTACAGTCAACCATATGAATAATAATTCAGTTATTCTTACAGAAGGATTCTGGATATAAAGTGATGTTAGTAAGGAAACGAAAGTTTTGCTAGCCAAAGTTAGTTGTAATGATAGTTCAGTATATTATTTGAAAAAATGAATACAATAAAATAGGTGTTTTGTTTTTTTAAATGAGCGCTACAGAATTTGCAGCTTGTAGTGATAGAATGGATGTGGTGGGAGGAGTCGAGATGATGTTCTGGTGTCCTGGAAGAAAACCTGAGGCTCAAAAATAGAAAGGAGAGGAGAGGAGAGGAGAGGAGAGGAGAGGAGAGGAGAGGAGAGGAGAGGAGAGGAGAGGAGAGGAGAGGAGAGGAGAGGAGAGGAGAGGAGAGGAGAGGAGAGGAGAGGAGAGGAGAGGAGAGGAGAGGAGAGGAGAGGAGAGGAGAGGAGAGGAGAGGAGAGGAGAGGAGAGGAGAGGAGAGGAGAGGAGAGGAGAGGAGAGGAGAGATTGGCATGGTTTGCTGCAACAAACATGGAAAATTTGCTTGTTCATTACTTGGAGTTATATGTCTGAAAGAGAAGCTAATTTAAACTGAAGACAGTAGTTGAGTTCTTTTTCTTCAATTTTTGTGAATAAAGAAGGAGAAAAAGTAGAGATTAAAAATTCCTAAGGAAATGTAGCAAGGTCTGAAGCAGACTCCAGGTGATGGATGAAGAAGGAATTTGGAGTGCTAAGAAGCAGGCAAGGATAGAATTCTAAAAGCACGGGAAGAAAAGTGTAAACTTCTGTCTGAAATCTGCAGTCAGGAAAGTGAAGATGAGACCATGTCTGTGAGAGCAGAGTATGAGAGTCTGATAAGAACTCAGTGAGATTGCTTCAGATGAATATGACATTATAAAATTATAAGGCTTCACTCAAGAGAGTCTATTAAGTAAACATAATGACACCATTTTGCTAGAGTAGCCTCAATTGTTAGAAACAGGACTCTCGGACGAAGGCAATTTTGTTCTGGAATAATAACTTCTATCTGTAAGTAGAAGGATTACTCCAGAGTAGATGGTCTGAATAGAGGAGCTATTCTGGAATAGCTAAATTATATGCCAGTATTTCTGTAGCCACACGGTTTTCTAAAATAGTCATTCCATGCATTTTCAGCATGCAAAGAAAGCCTATCCCTACTTACAAGTTTTTCCATTTTTTTTTTTAGCACTTTACCTTCACATAAGTTTGCAGTAACACAAAAAAAGCTTATTTTGTTGGGAAAAATAGATAAATAGAAAAGAGATACTAACATTAAAAAAAATTAGAAATAATTCTGATTTTGCCATTTTAGTGCATCTGATTTTAACTAAAAAGCTGTTGGTTACAATCATAGTCTGTCAGTTTAAAATTCAGAATTAGAGACTTCTAACATTTGACGCAAAGTAGTTTTCCTCTAGAGTAGAGAGGAGGGAAAAGGTGCCCCAGCCACTTCTGAGCTTTGTTAAGGAAGATTAGCCATGGTAAGTATGCCCCAATTTTCAGTAATTTATCTCTACCAGTGTAGTATATCTGGCAACAGTGACAGGATTAAAAGCAGTTATTTGAAAAGGTGTGCAAATCTCCCTACCCATAGCTGTCTCCCATAGCCATACTGAAGAAACAGCAGTGCAGTACGGTGATGCAGTGACAAGAGAATGATCTTGTGAGCTATGTACAAGCAGGAATTGGAATGAATCTCTGCAATTTCAGCCAGACTGGTATTAATTAATCAGTAGTCATATAAAATTAATAGCTAGACAAAACCTATAATCTTCACTGGCTGTCTACTTGGTACTGATCTTATTTCTGAGCACTGAAGCAAGGTTTCTTGTGTAGAATTCCTAAGAAGAAAAACAGTGTAAGGAAACACATTATTTATCACAGCTATTTTTTTTTAAAATCAGTCTATTAGAAAGGAATGCTTTTGAAGATTATACAGAAAAGGATTGTTTCATCTTGTTCAGAATACCTTTTGCTGTAACAAGTTGTTTTTTTAAGAGCTTCTACTGATTCTGTGTTTATTGAGATCCTCTAAGGACTAGGTGAATTAAACCAAACAATTGCTTAGCACCAGAGTAAGCTCATACACTCCTTCAATACATAGGATAACAGTTTTGACAAGTATATCTCTGATTCTAGGAATAGACCTGTGGAATAGCTTCAGTAGTGGCTCTGGGAACTAGGATTCATAGTTTTATGAGATACCAGGATTATTCTTACTAATGGGCAGAATCTTTCCTGTTCCATAGATCCCCATGGATGTATGGCTTCTTGCCTTTTTCCTTACTCACATCCCCATGTTTTGTAAAAGCTAAACCTTATTTTCTGTTAAATTGTCTAAGACATTAGTGTAATTAACTTCAGAATGCTTTATTTTCCAACCCGTGTTTAGCTTGATTGTAGTATTTGTTCTGGATGGTTCTGGACCTCAAGGGGGAATGTGTGCCTGACGGCTTGCTTATTGTTTCCAAATATGTCTTTTATTCAACCAAGCGATGTCACCTCTTGAACAGCTATTGGCATTGTACTAGCCTGATACTGCAAATCTGATCTCAACCTTCAGCAGGATTGTACACATATTGTTGTTATATACTTGTCATTATTTTGGCTTTTTTTGTTGATGGTGAAAGTTTCCCTGCTGTTTGTATTCTAGATAGGAGTCCGAAAAGTGTTTCTTAAGTACTGGCAAGCTGACCATCTCAACGATTTGTGCCTTCAGCTTCAGAAGAAAATTATAACCTGCCAAAAAGGTAACAATTACAGAACAAGTATTCCTGAGCTGTCACTTCGTACACTGACAAGAAGCATTACATAACAAAAAAAAAAATTTTTTTTTTCTTCTTTGAATAGTTGCTGTATTTTATTTATTTTCCTATTGGCATATTTCCAACTGACTTCTTATACAAATTTTTGGAGATGATACTGACATTGGTAACACTTAAACTTTGTGCCTGTGAAACATAATTTTATGGAAAACTGTTGACTGTAATTAAAACTAAGGGGAGCTTTGAGTATTTGTTTTTTAAGTATGTTCATTGATTTTTAAAGGTATTAAAATCACCTCTTAACTTTGAGTTGCATATCAAATAGAATCACAGAATCATAGAACGGCCTGGGTTGAAAAGGACCACAATGATCATCTAGTTTCAACCCCCTGCTATGTGCAGGGTCACCAACCACCAGACCAGGCTGCCCAGAGCCACATCCAGCCTGGTCTTGAATGCCTCCAGGGATGGGGCATCCACAGCCTCCTTGGGTAACCTGTTCCAGTGCGTCACCGCCCTCTTTTATGGAGAACTTCCTCCTAATATCTAACCTAAACCTCCCCTGTCTCAGTTTAAGGCCATTCCCCCTTGTCCTATCACTATCCACCCTCGTAAACAGCTGTTCCCCCTCCTATTTATATGCTCACTTCAAGTACTGGAAGGCCACAGTGAGGCCTCCCTGGAGCCTTCACTTCTTCAAGCTAAAAAATAGGGTAACAAGGATGCAAAATACCTTTCTGTGCAAATGTATCAGGAATACAAAGCTAATATTTTTATACGTTTAGTTATCTTTGTTTTCTCTTTGTTGCAGTTTTTGTAGTAGAACTTGTTTTTTTTTTTTTTTTTAATTTTTTATTTTATGCATTTTTTTCTTCTTCTATGTTTTTGTTTTAAGATCACACTGACCTATTTAGCACATCTCTTAAAGGAGTTGCTATCCACTGTCTCCTGATTTCCTGTTACTGCTCTTCCATTTCCTATTGGAATCTCAAACATCTACTTCCTTAAAACACAGCATAATTTATCTAATTAGCTGTTGTCTGCAATGTTTCCCATTAACACATTTTTTAAGGAAATTAGAAAAACAAGGATTTATCTTGTTGTTTTGTTTGTCGGATTTTAGTCAGATTTTATTAGCTTTGTCCTTCTCACCTTCCCTCTCCCAATAAGAATAAGAACTACATTTGGGGAATTTTGCTCATATTGAATCATTGAGAAAATTTTTTGTATCTGTAGGAAAATCCATCATCCTTAAAGTCTTTCATTACAATTCAACTAGATTAAGAATTAACTCTAGTACACTGTATGCACAGTGGTTAAAACTTTTCTCACTGAAGTCAGATCCATGGAATTTTAATTCTTCTGATCTTTGTCCTTAGATGAACTGTGAAGAATTAGGTAATTTTATGTCATGAGGATGCTAACATGAATTGTTCTAATCTCCATAAGTGAGAATTGTTGTACATCTACGTAAATGAGAACCAAGCTCAGAGCACAGTCTTAGAATCTGTACAATACTTGTTGATACTGAGCAGTAAAGGTCCAGGAAATGACAGTTTTCATTTCACAGCAGTCTTTGAGCTCATGAAATTGTTGTGTTTTTTTTCTCATTTCTTTATTTTTTTTTCTTTATTTTTTCTTTATTTTTTTCTCTTGTTTCTGTATTTTTTTGTTTCTTTATTTTTTTTCTTGCTTTTTTTTTGTTGTTTTGTTTTGTTTTTTAATTTCTGCATTGATCTGAAGACAAAACCCTTCAAAAAGAGGAATAATTTTTGATTTTTAAGCTTTTTGAATTTTTTCATACTTGTAAGCTGTGAACTCTGATAGTGATCTGTACATGATTCCATTACTTTCTCAACAGCAACATTATAAATTCAGACTCAGTAATGTGTATATCCCTTGTGAATTCTCATAAAAGAATCAACAAAAGCTGTGCTGTTAATTTCCTTTTTAACTCAATTGGGTAAGTGCACTTATGTTTCAAGTTTTAAGAAGTCAGATTTTATTCTAGAACGTAGCTTTGGTGATTGACGTAACTGGCTGTGATTATAACAAGAGTGTAAACTTTCAAAATTATCTATTATAGATAGTAGCAAGGCATATGAACTTGAATTTTTCCAAACCCAGTGAATTTTGGATAAATAATAATACCTGAACATTTCCCTTTGTTATATTGCATCAGCTAGGCACAGAGCATTTCTAAAAATCTTGTGTTAAATATTTAAGTGAGGAAATAGAAGATGACAGAAATTTTTTTTTTTGCCTTCAATTTGTCTATTTATTTCATTAAAGATCATCTTACATTCATAGGAGACTAGTTCTATCTTCTATCTTCCTCTGTTTACATTTTTCCTTTAGATTAATTGAACTTGACTGTCATTTAATGTTACTCAGAAGTGTTCGTGTGGCTGACGCTGAATTGCATTGTTAAAAAGGCCTACCTAGCCTTTAGCCCTTAGTAACTTCTTAATATTTTAATTAGCATCTCCAAAACTCAAATCAACATCTTATACAGGCTACTTCCTGTTTACTTATCCAGAAATTTGAGTTTACCAAAATAAGGGTAAGCATGATAAGGATTAATGAAATTAGTCCTGTTTTGTTGTGTGGTTACCCTTAAGTTGAGCTACTGAAAATCAGCAATATTTTAGGTACCAGGAAAATAATTTTAAAACATGTTCTTCCCTGTGAGGTACACAGCAGTTACTGTAGACCTGGAAAGAAACATCGTCTTGGGGAGCTTAAAAAGACAAAAACATAGAGAAAACCCCTTATAGCTCTTCTTCCCAACCCAGGACACATGCCAAAGCATACTAACATTACTGGTTCCATGTAGAGTGATTGATTTAGTGTTGGATTCATCATGGTCACAGAAGCCCCTGTCCCTTGGATATGTTCAGCTGGATACTTCTGAAAATTCTGGGGATAAGGCGATATTTAGGTTGAGTAGAAACTGTTGTACTGCATACACGTTTAGGAAAGTAGCACAGAAAGCCGTTATAGGCGGTAGCATAAGGCTGACAAGGAGCGTAAGAAAATAGCCCTATTAGATCAGTAAGGCTGATGCAACATAGATGAAAATTTTAAGCTGAAAAATGGAAATTATGTGACAGCAGCATTTCAGAAATGTGCATTCATTGTTTCTGCTGAAAAAAAATGGGCAAAAAAAGTCTTTAGGTGTCAGTAAAAGATCTTTTATTTGTTTTGTTTTGTTTTGTTTTCCCCATTTTTTGGTACACTGAAATGTCAAAATACTGTTTGAAGATTGACAGATACAGACAGTCTTTTAATTTCTACCATATTCAATGCAATAGTCATTTACCCAGGGTATTATTTTAAAACAAATGATCTTTTGACCTTTCCTTTTTAAATACATACTTCTGCATTCTCCATCAGACATTCAAGTTTCCAGTTGTAATGGAAGCAAAAATGGTGAAAGTAACTGTTTTGAATTCTGGTAGCTTGAATTTGTGAATGAATTTGCTGTCATACTTGGTTTTAAGCACTGGCAATATAAAACGGGCACATCCATTTTTGTACGTTGTATACAACGTACATTTCTTTCACTATTTGTATAAGATATTGTCTGAACTTGATTTACTTATGTTTACAGCAGAACACACGGTAATATTGTTACTCACTAATTAATTAGTTGTCTTTCATTGGTTTATTATTTTTTCTTCTGTTATGGTAGTTGTGAGAGGATTTCTAGCTCGCCAGCGTGTGCTACAGAAGATGAGCATCAAGCAGCAAGAGATCACCTCAGTCAAAGGCTTCTTGCAGACTGTTGAGGATATGGGGCTGAAAACATACGATGCCTTGGTCATTCAAAATGCTTCTGACATTGCTCGGGAAAACGACCGGATTCGCAATGAGATGAATGCTGCTTACCACAGGGAAAAGCTAGAGGCTAGAAATAGACCAGAAGAAGTCCACAAAAGGTAAGATACCTTAGCTTTGAGAAAATATATTCTGGGTTGGATAGTGAGGAATTAAATCATTTCTTCAGTTTTGTGATTTCCTTCCCTGCTTTTAAAGTCACATAAATGACTTGAGCATAACTTGAAAATTGCAAGAGCATTTTCAAGTATGTATTCAACCCAGATCAATGCTAAACACTGTTTTTCTGTGGAGCAGGTAATTATGTCCAGAAACATAAAGACACCAATAATATCTTATTCAGGGCAGACTGAGCTTTGTAGAAATTTATTCAAGCCTCTGAAACCTTTTTTTTTTTTTCAGAAATTTTTCATTTGAAGAAAAATAGATTATAGTTGAACTTTCATCAAACCAACTAAACAAAAGCAAAACTTATCTAACTGAGAATTTCAGCATGGGGTAACTGCCAAAAAAATGAAGAACAGCCAAGAAAGCATTAAAATACAATAAAGGGCAGCCCAAGAAATTCTGATTATACAATGAACTAGAAAGACTGTGAAGAGGATTCTTTCCTCTTTTTTAAAAATAGATGAAATCCTTTTTGTTTAGCTCCCATCAGAGTTTTCAGGAGTACCTGTTTTACGAATCCAGCAAATGGTTGGAGAGCGTTTTCCCAGGAATGGAGTCCCAGATCTTTTTCTCTCAGACTGGGCAAAAGTAGCATTTGCAGTTAGAAACAGGTATGTATCAAGAACAGGAAAGCTTCTAATAAACTTGATGGACATACAGATATGTACTTTTCCATAGGAACTTAATTCTCATCTGGAACAACTGCCTTTGCTTTCCTTGCTTTTGTTAGTGACTTTATTAAAGTGAAAATGGCAGTACATCTGCTTAATTAGCTTCAAATATCCCAGTCATTACATATTGGAGGAAATGCCTTTGTCAGAATGACTGTAATTAAACATTACAGTGAAAACAAATTATCCACTGAGCAACACACTTTCATCTTTAGCTGTTTCATTTACTACATGGGCAGCTGGCTATATCCTGCACATGAATTCCAGCCCTGCTGGTGATCTGCCATACAGAAATACAATTTGGAAAAAAAAAAAGCTTGGCAGTTTGTCTGTAAAATGATGGTATGGACATCTATCTAATAGGCTGCCGCTCCAAGCTGAAAAGTTTTCAGCATTTTGATTTTTGGAAGAGTAAAATGTTTGAAGAATTTCGGTTAAAAATCAGTTTGTTGAAAGTGGCTGAAAGACATCATTTCTCTATTCATATTGAAATAGCAAAAATAAATAATAATAATAATTAAAAAAAGTGTAATAAGCAGAAGTCCAACACTGTGATTGAAGTAACTAAGCATAATGTCATAATTAATATCTTTAAAAGGATAGCTATCAAGTAAGCCTCCACAGGAGGATATGTAGATATCTAGGTGGAATCATTCAGACAGCCACTGTAGCTGGTTAAAAGGGTCATTAATATTTTAAAGATTTGCATTATCTAAATAGAATTTATTGTTGTCTTTTCAGAAAATAGCGATAAAGGCTCAGCATTTGCTGCCTCAGTAACTTTCCATTAAAATGGATTTCCCAGAAATTATCATTCAGATTGGAAATGCGGCTTTTGATTGTGTGCAACAATCAAAGTGTGAACAATTCATTCACAGAGTGTCTGATCCACAATGTGAAACTGCTTAAGGAAAGCTGCATCTGTGTGAAAAGAGAGCCAGTGTCCCAATTTATCATGAAACAGGAAATGGAGGAAAGCTAGCAGCTTGATCTGGATTTGTTTGTCAGGAGATTACTACACACATCCCCTCCGCGCAGCAGGGGAGGCGGGAGGCTGTTTACCAAAAAGCTGTTGTTATGTTTGCATGAACAGGTTCATTGTTACCACTTGAATAATGCATCTGGGCCTCTCCTCCGTGTTTTTTCAGAGCTGAAGACAAGGGTGGGAAGCTTCCTGAGGATGGCTTCGCCGGCTACCGAGCGCCAAAGCACTTTCATTCCAGCTCTGTGCCTGTCCCCATGGCAGTGGAAGGCTTGGTACATTCTGTGGCTGGGTCGTCCATCAGGTCCCCATCCCTGCACTCAGTGTTCAGCATGGAAGACGGCGGCAGCCTGCCGTCGCCACGGAAACAGCCTCCTCCCAAACCCAAGCGGGACCCCAACACACGGCTGAGCGCTTCCTATGAGGCCGTCAGTGCTTGCTTGTCGGCAGCTTCTAAGGAGGCCGCTAATGAAGGTCAGGCAGAAAGGGGGAAAGCATCACAGAAGTTACTCTAGATTATTGATTTGTTCCCTCCGCTTTGATCTTTCCAAACATGGTCAAGCGCCTTTGAAAAGCCCCGCCTCTGTGAAATATTTCAGTGGCAGTAAATAAAGGTAGTCAATTTATCATTTGCTCCAAATCAGCAAATAACTGCTCGTGTGTTCTAATGGCCTCGTTTGTCAACAACCTGAGCCTGTTTGCAGAATTCCCTCTAGAGACAAATGATCTTTTGTCAGCTCCAGCTATTCCACCCCACTGACCATTTTCTTTCACCTTTTAAACTGTTAGAATATCTTGCATTGCTAATACAGAATGCCAGATTCTTGAATTTCACCAAGTTAAACATTAAGCATTCTCCTACTTTTTCTCTGAGTGCACAGAAATGTCTTGTGCATTCAGCGGTTTATGTTTGTACCATAACTTACTTATGGTGAATTTTTTGTTTGGAATGAAAGTGCTGTGAAAGTCCCAAAAGAATTGCAATGCGTTACCGTGCATTAAGTCCAGATTTGAGTTCAATTGTTCTGTCCTCCTACACACTTGAAACATATGAGTAGAAGAAGAAGAGAGGGGAGACGTTCTGCTTTTCCTTGATAAGCCTAATTTATCCTGTTTCCTCTAAAGAATCTTCTAAGCTTATCAAGGAATATTCTTCAGGGTGGGCTTAAAGCTACGTGTAACCATTCTCTATGCCTGCACACTGGCTGCAGAGCTTTGCCGCTCCCTCTCTCTTGCACAATAATTGCTCATGCCTAGTTTATTAGATGCAGGTCGGTTTTTCTAGCCTTTACCTTGCTCGTTCAGACTCCTAATTTTTTTTTACACAAGTAAAATCTTGTGTGTGTCCAGTATAGGTAGTTTCAAACTAGTTCAGCGTGGATTATGGATCTCTGCGGTGGTTTAGGCTTTCAGTGCACAGCGTTAGAAGAAATGATTGATTTAGCCAGAAAACTCCAGCAGAATTTTTTGAAAGAAAGACAATTCAGATACATTTGTGTGGTCTTAGCAGTAATGCTTATGCACTTGCAAAACAATTGAACCAGTTTCCCTGCTGTGCTCATTTTCCAAGTATTATGTATTTCTTGAGTCTTTGAAATCAGCTCTGATTTACACCATTTAATTTTTATCTTAAAAGACTAATCACCTATTGATGATCAGTATCTATTATCTCCACTCCATCTGTGCCTAGAGGCTGTGAAAAGACATCTCGTTTTGTTAACTGTATACTCAGTTGAGGAATTGCCCCTGGGCTATGTGATTCCCAAACTTTAAAAATTATTTCCACATCAGCAATACAAAAGAAGCAGAGATAGGGATAATATCTGCCTGTAATTAGGATTTTATATACTGCATAAAAGTCGGATACTTCAGTTACTGATGATAACATACATGTCAGAGTAGTGCTATGCTGAAACTCCTATTTAAAAGCACACCCTTGTATCCTCTCCCCTGGGGCAAAAAGAATAACAAGCACCTATTTCCATGCATTACACATCCTGCAGTGAATATCTGGATTCAAAAAATATCTCCTTGGGTGACAGTTTTAGTGATAGTGGAGGCTACCAAAGCAGATACCAGGCAACAAAAGCTTGTGGTTTGGAATGCTGAAAGTTCTGCATTTTATTCATTGAAATATGTATACTTTTGACTGAATTCTTCTATATGTAACTGCTTTTAATGATAAAATTATACATACAAGATTTGAAAGCTTAAATACTACAACTGTGTAAGAAAAAACTGATTTCAGTCTGCTAATAACACACGCCTTTTTCACTTCCCTAGTTCTGACCCGTCCAAGGCCACATAGTGATGACTATAGCACCATGAAAAAAATACCTCCCAGAAAACCAAAACGAAGTCCCAATACAAAACTCAGTGGCTCTTACGAAGAAATACCTGGCCAAAAGCCTGGGGATGTGAAACAGACAAACACAGTAGTTAAACAAGGTAGCTATGACACTGCGGGAGTACAGAGAGCAGCTTCTGCTGATGTGCCACAACATGGCACATTGAGTCTCTATATGTCACAAGAAGAGGAAGAAAATGAGCCTGTCTATATTGAAATGGTAGGGAATGCAATGAAACACAGTTCTGCTGAAGCAGAAAGCCCAGAGCAAGGAGAGTCTGTGTATGAAGAAATGAAGTATTTTCTCCCAGAAGAAGGAAGCAACAGTAATGGAATAATTCCAATAGCAACTGGATCTCCACCTCTGGTGTTTGAAAGCAAAAAAAATGTTCATGTTGAAGATGGAACATTGGATGGAAACAGTCAAGCTGCTTTGAACTATAAAGACTCATGTGACATTCCAGCCCCTTTCCCTAATTTGCTTCCTCATAGGCCACCACTTCTTGTGTTTCCTCCAACTCCTGTCACATGTTCTCCTGCTTCTGATGAATCACCTCTAACACCACTAGAAGTTAAAAAGCTTCCTGTCTTGGAAACCAACCTAAAATACCCTGTGCAGTCAGAAGGCTCAAGTCCATTGTCACCACAGTACAGTAAAAGCCAAAAGGGGGAGAGTGAAAGACCAGCATCTCCAGGCTTGGTTGTATTCAATGTTTCCAGCAAAGTAACTCCACCTTCCACACCTCCTCCTCCTCTTCCACCACCCCCTCCTCCTGTACCACCTCCTGTTTCCTATCGGGCTTCCACACATTTTGCATTTCCTCCAGAGCCTTGTGCTAGTTTTCTGATTAATACAGGGAAAACAGGTACAAACTCAGATCTATCAAAAGTACCTCTGCGACCAAACCCTGCTCAGCTTGGATGTTCACCTTCTCCATTCTCCAAATTGCCTTATTCCCCAAAGATGGCAAGAGCAGAACACAGGAAATTGAACTCTAATTCATCATCTTCATATCCATACAGTCCTACAAACTCAAGGTCATTGACCAGTCCCCTTGATGAGTTAGCAAGCTTGTTCAACTCAGGACGGAGTGTGTTACGGAAATCCGCAGCAGGACGTAAGATCAGGGAGCCAGAAGGTAAGACTGATCTCTGTGTATTTCTTCAGCACCAGAACAAACTTACATTAAAAAGTGACAGAGTAGATAAAAATACAATACAAAACTATTCATTTTTTTAAAAAACAAAGATTGTTGTAATTGTAAGAAATGCATGGAATTTGTTGGATATGAAAAATGTTGGCCTTTAGGTTTTCTCTGAGATGTCACTTCTTCTTTTACCAAAACATTTGTATGACACAGAATTAAATGGATAATTTATAACATTCCTATAGCCTCAATGCAATAAGCACAAATGTTGTATATCATGTGAAAATGAGTTTATTGTATCAATCAAATACCTCAACAGTGAAATCATGATCATTTATAGGATGTGAGGAGAAACATAGTGATGAAAGGTGAGGATAAGGCTCAGTCCCCTGATTTGGAAAACAGTGACAGTGACAGGATGTGAGACGGAAGCTGCTGTAATCCAACTGGAAAATATATGGGAGATTTTACATCATTTGAGTTCATATGTCAAGGGGATCAGAAGGAATTAATCCAAGGGTATTGTAGGAGATGTCAGTAGCACTCACTACGTCACTGTCAATAACTTACCAGCAGTTGTGGTAACAAGGGAGTTCCAAGTTTACTGGAGATTGGTGAATATGAGCCCAGTCTACAAGTAGGGCAGGAAGGAAGATCTACGGAGTTACAGACCTGTCAGTCTGACCTTGGTGCTAAGGAAGGTTATGGAGCAGATTGACTTGAATGTTATCACATGGCACATGTAGGACAATCAAGTGATCAGAAATAGCTGACATGGGTTTATAAAAGGCAAGTCAATCCTGACTAACCCGCTCTTCTATGACAAACTGACCTGTGACTGGTTTATGGGCTGGTTCGGCCCAGTTCCGTGACCAGCGGGGCAGAGGGATTTCACAAAATCCATGCCTGCAGAAAAGGGGAATAGGGGACCCCAGAATAATTAAAAACAGTGGCAACGATCTGAGGAGAAACAAACTAGTTTACTAAATATAGTATTGGAATGCAAGTTAGCACATCATAATACAATATAATCCTAATTGAAGCTAATAAATCAAATATAATGAGAGAGAGAGAATGTCCGAAAGGTGGATAGGCCTCCCCATAACACTGAGGTGAGATGCACAGTCCAGTTGAGCAGCAGGGGGACGGGAGGAGAGCCCATGAAGAAGAGCAGATGAAAAAAGAGCGCATCAGGTGGCCTTGCCAGGAGTTGTATCTCCTCTCTGACCGCAAAGTCCCCCAGGGAATATAGTTCTTCTTCTCTTCTGGGCAGAACTTGAGCATTAATGGTTAAACTCCCAGTGCCCGTGATGTTATGATGTAGAATACCAAAAATCAAAAATCACAAAACTGTGGCAACCTGCTTGGCAGAAAATAAACTGGCTGTGCATGTCATATACCAGGATTTTTGTAGTGTTTGACACTGTTTCCTACTACATTCTCTTGGAGAGACAGACAGACAACTCATGGCTTAACTCATGGTTTAGTCTGAAGAAGAGGAGGTTGAGGGGAGACCTCACTGATCTCTACAACTGCCTGAAAGGAGGCTGTAATGAGGCCTCTGTTAGTCTCTTTTATTAGGTGTCAAGTAATGTGATGCAAAGAAATGGCCTCAAGTTGCTCCAGAGGATGTTTAGAATGGATATCAGGAATAATTACTTCAAGGGGGGATGGTCTAGCAATAATATGGGCCTCTCAGGGAAGTGGCGGAGTCCCCATCCCCGGAGGTGTTCAAGAGACATGAGAACGTGGTGCTAAATAATGTGGTTTTTAGTGTCTGAGTAGGTAAGGCTGACAGTTGGACTTGATGATCTTGAAGGTTTTTTTCTAACCTAAATAATTCTATGATTCCATGATTCTGTGACAAAGATCTCAAAATAACTGAGTTACATGTTTTATGAAAATCAGTGGCTATATGGACATAAGGCACTTATACTGGTAATGACTCGTACCAGCCATCAAAGAAATCATGGTGGTGTAAGTCCTTGTGAGTCCTCCAGAACTTTAAAAGCTTTGGTTGGACCTTGAATGTTCCTAGATACTGAATTCAATCAGACACGAGATTTTAAATGAGACTTCATTAGTTCTCAACCTCAAGAAAATGCTGTTATTCTGAATATTGGGATTGATGAAATTTGTAAACATGTTGCAGTAGTTTTGTTTGCTTTGGCAAAGTAAATTGATAACATTCAATACCTACTAATACACGACAATTTTTTTGTTTTGCTTTTAAGCCAGAGCTCTGCTTTCATTTTATAGTTAATACATTTTTATCTGTTGGGAATTTATCAATTTTAAAGTCGTCTCTTTGGTTATATCTTTTCAAGGCTCTCTGAATGTATCTGGTATGGTAAGCTTACTCCAGCCAAGTCAGAAAATTGACTTTTACCCTTAAGAATGTTTATTTGGGTTTGAGGATTTCTGCAAACTCAATTTTCAACTAAATGTGACCATGATAGAGTTCAGCCTGAATGTTGAAGATAGCACATTAACACAGGCTGCCATATAAAAACTCTAAATCTACCTTTCAGGTGGAAAATGTTGTACCTCTAAATATTTCATCAAGGCAGCACTAACTATGGGAGATCAAAGTTCAAGAAAGATACAGAAGGAAAGACTCGAATCAATATTTTATGAACTAGGAAGCTATATAATACTGTAAAATACTAAGTGCATCTACGTATGAGTAGTTCAGCAATGAGTAGATAGATCAAAAGTGATAAAGGAATACAGGTGATGGTATGTTCAGTGATTTTTACTTTTTCTTGTACTTCATAGTCTCAGGTAGAATTGTCTTTTATTTAACCTCTGATATAATTAATTAAATGGCAATCAGTAGAATGGACTCAGTTATGTAAAACTAGAATTTGTCCTTGCATTACCTGATGATTTTTTATCACCTCTTGCCTAATGTATATTAAGTCCCTGGAAGACTGCCCCCTTTCTTCAGTTTCATTTGGTTATTTGTAGTATTTTATTATTAGTGAAGGTGTGATAAAAATAAAATAATTGAAATTCATGAAAGACATGACTTAGAGCAGCACTCTGTAATGTGCAGTTCACATTACTTCTATAAGTTATAACCAAATAACAACCTTAACTCAAAACAGAAGATGAAAGTGTGGGCCATTTCAGAGTCAAGGAAGGTTAGCTATGGGAATCAATGAGTCTCTGTACAGAACCATCAGCCTTGGAGATAAAAGCCTCTTTGCCAATAAAAGTGTAATACAGATAGATCTGCCAACGTGCCTTCCTCTTACCTGGAGGAGTAATTTTAAGGCCTGAGAACACTGATATCCTTTTGGCTCCTGACCTCACTGTGGGAAATGATCATCCTTAATTCCAGTAGAATGGATTTGTGGTTTTCTGATGGACTGCTGGCTTATTGTGAACTGAACTGAGATCACCCTTCCTTCATGCATTCAGCAATAAAAATAATAAAATTGTAACAACTTGCCTGATGTTATAGCCTGGCCTTTTTTAAAAACAATGAAATAGTCTACAGACTCAAACAATGATCAGTCATACAGTATGCAATTTCTTCTGAAATATTTTATCGGTAATAAGAGAAGATTTTGACTTCGCAGAACTTATAGTTTAAATAAGCAAAACTGTAACGACTGAGAACTGAGCACAAGTGATTTCTCCTGGCTTGAAAAGAGTTACTGCTGAAGCTACAGCTGTATTGTTAGACAGAAAATTCCTTCTACTCCACATCAAACAGAACTCGGGTGCAAATGGGCAATAATAATATATGCACAAACTTTTTTTCTATACTTTATGGTTGATACAAGTAGGAGCTTTAGGTTGCAAGACAGATAGAAACGGAATGATCACATATAGAGCCACTACCCACGTATTTCTAGATTAAAACCTTAAATTTGAAATGAGATTTCATGAACCCCAATTCAATGTCTTAATCACAAAGCCACTCTCTCTAGTGAAGTACACTTCTTTTTTTCCCCTTATTTTTCACATCTAAAGCAATCCTGGGAAGGAGGAGACAATTACATACTGAAGTATTTCACATTAAATATTTGCAGAGCCAGCTCAGAATTTTGTTTTCTTCAACATGGATAAATAATACTCCGATTTTGTGCCATTCTTTTTGTGATTTTATATTGTTAATATTCCCCATGAAGTGGAATTTTTCAGCTTCAGAGCAAAGAAGGGAATAATCTCCAGACCATCACCTGCACTTGGATTGGCAGAGTACGTGCTCATACGGATTCTGAAAGGAAGGGAGCAAATGAATTATGATTTTCCCTTAACTTGGATGAATTTGCTTGCCATCAGGCTATTGAGATAAAGACTTAATGCCTTATCTCCTTCCCGCTTGTTGAGAAGAAGTTGGTATGGATGCTTAACTTCTTAGCGTGGGCAAAAGAAGATGTGCAGACTTGCTGCCTGAGGTTTAGTTGCTGAAAGCCCTTTCCTTTATGCAGCCCATCAAGGTATAGGCTTCAAGTTTTGTGATTTTTTGTTACTTTTGTTACAAGCGGGCCTGTGTATACAAGTCTACTCTTCAGTAACTTGCTCCTTTACAAAAAGAGCTTAGTAATGTATGTAACAATAACAAAAAAGGCATGCAAACTTTAAGTTGTTGGCAGAGTATTTATACAATATCTTCAGCATCCATACAAATCAGTTTGCATGGAATGTTTCTAATACAGATAGATTCATATGTCTGTTAATTCTTTCATATTCTCCAGTGTAAGCACCTTCATAGGAAGGTTGTTGCACGTGACAAATACAGATATTTAGATGTACCTAGTCGGGACTAAAACTTGCCAAATACTCTTTGCTGAAATTGGCACAAACATGGAAAATAACAGGATTTAATGTGTATGTATGAGGTTTAATGTCCTGTCAAAGGCAGGTATCTCACTGATAGCTAGTAAAAAATTTCCTTCTATCAACAGATTAGAGTAAGCTGCTATTGTGCAGTAAATGTCTCAACAGTGGATTGCAAATTAAATTCCCACTGGAGT